TCTGTCCCCACAGCCCCAGGTCCATGCCTCCCAGCTCTGCACCCACAGCCCCAGGTCCATGCCTCCCAGCTCTGCACCCACAGCCCCAGGTCCATGCCCCCCAGCTCTGTCCCCACGGCCCTGCTCCAGCCCTGCCCCCACAGCTCTGCACCCATAGTCCCAGGTCCATGCCCCCCAGCTCTGCACCTGCAGCCCTAGGTCCATGCCCCCCAGCTCTGCACCTGCAGCCCCAGGTCCATGCCTCCCAGCTCTGCACCTGCAGCCCAGGTCCATGCCCCCCAAGCAGCTTACAAGCTCCTCTATGCCCTGTGTTTGGAATCAGTGGTTCTCATTCCCAGTGGATGCCTGAATGTGGCCCAGATCAGGCTGAATGACCACTCCACATCCTCCTCCTGCTGGTGCCCTGCGTCTGGCCGGCCAGCGGGAGTCCCCTTGGTGGAAGCCTGTGGTAAAGGGTCATAAAGTGGGGCGGTGCTTGGCAGGGGCGAAGGTCGCCGAGGCAGGAACTGTACCAGCCCTGACGCCAGAGAGCTGGACCCTCCCGTCAGATGACAGCCGCCAAGATGGGGGCTCAGGCCCTGCCATGGCCTCCCCTGCTGCTGGCGCTGCTCACCGTGCTGCTTGGCCATTCCCCGGGAGCCACAGCCCAGACTCAGGGTACATGCTGGAGGTGGGGGGGCGGGGGGGTGGGGGCTGGGAGGCACTGACCTGTCCTCTCCAACTTCCCAGTCTGCTCGGTGGACAAGACCTTCCTCCAAGTGCAGGAGAACGAAAATATCACGGAAGCCCTGGTGAACATCTCTGTCCCAGACGGCCAGCAGGTGACCCTCGGATCCTYGTCCACCCCATCCGCATTTCGGATCCTAGGAAACCAGCTCTTTCTCAGCGTGATTCCTGATTATGAGGTGCAGGCAGTAGCTGGGGTGGGGTGTTTCCAGGGTCCCCTGCGGGTACACAAAGACCTGGGGGTGGCCAGGGCTCTGCCTCCCCAGGCATTGACTGACCCTTCAGGCCCCATCCTGGGCTGGGCCTCGTCCATTAGGGAGCAAGGCTGCCTAGCGTCTCCTCCTCCTCCCCTGACTCACCACCCATGACGACCTGGGCGAGCCTCTGCCCTCAGCCTCGGGCTCCCGGCCTGTGGAGTGGGGACGTCTGCCACCACCAGGCAGGTGATCTGCAAGACCGACTTGCCTCCACAGGAGAATACGATGCTGGAGGCACACCTGGAGTGCAAGAGGGGGGACACCGTGGTGAGTGCACCTGTCTCCCTGGCCCTGGGCCCTCCTCTGTGACCTCGCCCAGGGAGTGTTTCCAAACTCCAGCCCTCCCCGGCTACACCCTCACGTCCTCCAGCCCAGACTCGGCCCTGAGCTTCAGACTCACAAACCCAGCTGTGGACACACAGACTCCCCTGACCCCCTGGCCCAGCACCTGGAGGCACCCTGGCCTGCTGACTGCTCCCCAGGCTTCCTTCCCGCTAGCCCGCCCTCAGGAGCAATGTGGGCCCCGCCTCAGGCAGCCCCAGAACCCCCTTCCTCCCTCCACATCCCACCAGGGCCTCGGCCACCAGCTTCCCCTTTCTGGAACCTTCCTACTGGTCCCTTTCCTCTCTTGCCCCTGGTCCATCCGTCCCCTCTCTGGGTGGGGGGTCTCAGGAGAGCCTAGGAGACCCAGCCCCACCCGGCACTTCCACAGCTGCCTTCGCACTGGGAGTCCAAGCCCACGGGCTGCTGTGGTGRCCAGGCTGGGTGTGTGGCCTGGCCTGGTGCGCCCGTCCCCTCACCTGCTCAGGTGGGCAGGGAAACCTTTCCTCTTTGGTGGACTCCGTCCACCCGCTGTGCTGCAGCGGCAGCCCTCCTCCTGCACTCCCACGCCCCGAGCCAGAAAGCCACAGGAGCGCCTCACCCCAGCTCCACCCTGAGCAGCCCCTGCCCTGCGCCAGGCCACACCACCGCAGCCCCCACGAGTATCTCAGCAGGTGTCTCTAATAGGTGGGCACCTGGGGCTGGGGCTGGCTCAGTGGCAGAGCACTTGCCTCGCACGCGTGAGGCACTGGGTTCCAGCCTCAGCATCACATAAAAATCCACAGATAAAATCAGGTCTGGTGTCCGTCTACAACTAAAAAACATATATTTAAAAAAACTTTTAAAAAATAGGTCGGGACCCTTCATTTTAAGCTCAGCTCAGTGGCAGAGAGCTGGCCTTGGCCTCCTGTGTGAGGTCTCCAGCACCACAAAGAAAACAAGGCACATTCTCCTGCCCTGTCCACCGGAGAAGGGCGGTTCCCCTCGCCCTCTCAACCCTGGCGTGTCCACCTGTCCTGGGCCTCTGAGAGTCTGCCTCGGCTTGTGTGAATCGGAGCAAAGTCCACCCAGGGGCTGGCGGATCTCCCTGCAGGTGCCTTCCACTCTCCCTGCTTGGWTATTCTTGAGGAAACGTGACATCTCACACGTGTCCTCTTTTTATCTATCTAGATCTATTTTTTAGTGAAAGGTGGACACCATGTCTTTATCTCATATCCACGTGGTGCTGAGGAGGGAACCCAGTGCCTCACGCGTGCGAGGCGAGTGCTCCACCTCCGAGCCCCAGCCCCAGCCCCCAGGGTCCTCTCTTGAGGTTCTGCTGGTAGCCTCCTCAGGCCACTTATCTGTCCCCGGAGTGCTTGCCACCTCTGTAACCCACCTCTGTGGTCTGGGAGCCCCAGGGCTGAGTCGTGTCCCTGGTGATGGGCCCTGCCCTGCTGGGTCACCATCACCTTCCAASAAACAAGCAGAAGGGAAAGTGGGCGAATGGACGACCACCTGGGTGCATGGACAGGAGTGAGGCAGGAGTGRAGGCCGGCGGCCGGGAGGGCTGTGGCCAAGGCTGTCGACCCCTAGGTGGCGCAGCTGAGGGTGTTTGTGGTGGTGCTGGATGTCAACGACAACGCCCCAGAGTTCCCCTTCAGCACCAAGGAGCAGGACGTGCAGGAGGTGAGTCGGGCGGAGCCAGAGCCGGCACTGCCTGGGCTGGGCACTGGGCGGATGTGGGCCCAGAGGGCTAGTGGTCCACAGAGGCCATGCCTGTGTCTGCCCCCAGGACACCAAAGTGAACTCTACGGTCATCCCTGAGGCAGAACTACAGGCCACGGACCGTGACAAGGACAGCACCTTATTCTACACCCTACAGGAAGTGACCCCGGTCAGTGGTACCCCAGCCCTGCCCAACACTGGCCCTTGGCTTCTGAGCCACTGCTCCTTGATCCCCCAGGGGCTCAGCTGTGGCTCCCRCTCCCCAGGGCGCTGGCAGCTTCTTCTCCCTTTTGGGGGTGAACCGCCCTGCCCTGAGGCTGGACCGGACCCTGGACTTCTACCAGTGGCAGAACATGACCTTCCGGCTGCTGGTGCGGGTGAGTGGTTCCCCACCGAGTCCTGGATGCTCAGGCCCTGTCTGAGGTCCCCTGCCTGACCCGGCAGAGCTGTTACAGGACACGAGGGAGGAGCACCAGGAGCCCAGCCACACGGCCACGGCCACCCTGGTCCTGAAGGTGCTGCCCGCTGACCTGCGGCCACCCTGGTTCTTGCCCTGCTCCTACTCAGACGGCTCCGTCTGCATCCAGGCTCAGTACCAGGGGGCCATCCCCACAGGACACAGACTGGTAACGGGGCCCGCCGCAGGGACGGCCTGGAGTGCAGAGTGGGGTCTGGGGGGCTCAGGGCGGGAGCCTGGGGCCTGGGCTCTCCAGGGGCAGTGGGCGACTTCAGTGGCGATTTTGGAAGAGCTGTGAATGAGCATTTTCTCCCAAACCGCCCACCCAGCCTGGGGTAGTGTGTGTACCAGCCACCGCAGCGTGGGGAGCCCTGCCTGGTGAGGTCAGCCAGAGGAGGGGCTGGAGGGGCCAGCTGGGCCGCCTGAAGGGCAGCTGAGCAAAGCCCCTCCCTAGGGCTGGCCTCCCAGGCAGGCCCGATCACTGTGCCTCCCAACCCACGAGGTGCCTTGGATTCGCCTGTAGCTGCCCTGACCGCGACAGGCACTGCCCGGCCCTCTCCCCTCCCCGCTGTGCTCCAAGCCTGTGTTTCAGACCCCGAGGAGCAGGGGAAGGGCCGACGGGGGCCATCGGCACCAGCCCCACCATGACCCCCACCCCCACAGCTGTCCCCCCTCATCCTGCGTCCGGGGCCCATCTATGCTGTGGACGGAGATCGAGGCATCAACGAGCGGGTCATCTACAGCATTATAGGGGGTGAGAAAAGACCTGTCCCCGCCACCCACGGTACCACAGACCCCCGCCTTGGACTCAGGCTGAACCAGCCAGGATCCTGGACCCTAGGGAGGGGACCAGGGTCTAAGTTCTGCCCCACCTCCTCTCAGGAAACAAGGACAACACATTTGCCATCGACCCAGACTCTGGCAACCTCACCATGACCAAGAGTGTCCCCAGCCCCACGACAKTCCTGCTACTGGTCAAGGTGAGTGCCGGCCTGGGGCAGCAGGATGTCAGCTGCACTTTCACCGGCCTGCTGGCCACTACTGCCTCTCCTTTCCCAGGGTGAACAGGCTGATCTGGCCCGTTACTCGGTGACCCAGGTCACTGTGGAGGCCCGCCAGGCCAATGGGAGCCAGCCCTACTTCTCCCAGAGCCTGTACCGAGGCACTGTGGCCCCTGGCTCTGGGTCTGGTGTGGCTGTCAAGGATGCCACCTCCCCCTCTCAGCCTCTGAGGATCTGGGCTCAGGACCCTGACTTCCCGGTAGGCGGCCCCCTCCTGCCCATCCAGGAGCCCCGTAACCTGGCCCAGTCCCAGGGTCTGCTCGCCCCCGGGTGGGTGGGCTTGGGGTGAAGAGTGGGGGCAGCCCAGGCCCGGGACTCACTGCAGCCACACGCAGGACTTGAACTCGGCCATTACCTATCAAATCACCAACTGCTCCGAGTTCCGGATGGCTGGAGAGATGGTGCTGACCGCCACGGCAATAGAGCAAGCAGGGGTCTTCTACGCAGAGGTAGGGAAGTGTGTCTGAGGGTGGGGGACTGCAGAGGGGCTCTGCAGGGACAAGCCCCCCTTCCCACCCCAGGTGGAGGCCAGGAACACCGTGACTGGGGGTGTAGCCACCGCTGTGGTTGAGATTCGTGTTTCAGAGCCGGAGCCCCCCTCCACAGGTAAGCCTCGGGGGGCCCCTTYAGGATGGCTCCTACCCTGGGCAGGTGGGCTGGGTGCAGAGGCAAGTCTGGCACTGTCCCTGGCTCCCTAGGCTCCCCAGAGCCCCCCACATCCCCAGAGACTGGAAGAACAACTGGGCCCTGGAGCAGCACCACTTCGCAAGCCCCCAGGCCCCCTGGGACCTCTCAGGGACCCTCAACAACCAGCTCTGGGGGTGGCAGTGGCCCTCATCCACCCCTAGGCACGACTCTGAGGCCACCGACCTCACCCACACCCGGGGGAACCCCCAGCCCGGGAGTGGGCACCTCGACCCGACCAGCCACGCCCGGTGGGGGCTCAGCACAGACCCAGAAGCCTGGGACCTCTCGGCCCACGGCTCCCGGTCCAGGAGCAGGCACCTCCCCTCAACCCCCCACGACCGGTGGGGGCTCAGCACAGACCCAGAGGCCTGGGACCTCTCGGCCCACGGCTCCCGGTCCAGGAGCAGGCACCTCCCCTCAACCCCCCACACCCAGTGGGGGCTCAGCACAGACCTCAAAACCAGGGACTTCTCCAACGAGCACCCCCGATGTGGGAGCAGGCACCTCACGACCAACCAGGCCCGGTGGGGGCTCAGCACAGACCCAGAAGCCTGGGACCTCTCGGCCCACGGTCCCTGGGCCCAGCAGGAGCCCCCCACCCTCAGGTAGTCCCCACCCCACTTGTCCTAGCTCAGAACCTGGGTGGTCCAGGGTCACCTCTAGGACAGAGTCCCAGGCAGGGGTCTGTCTGGTGAGAACAGTCAGCCCAGGAGCCCCCAAAGCTGCACTAGGAAGGTGTGGGGTGCAGGGCAGGGGGCAGATTCGAGATCCAGCGAGCTGAGTCGCCAAGGCCGTTGGTAATTTAGGATCTTAAGACAGAGAGCACCCCTTCAATGATTAGGAGAGATACAGGACTGAAATTCAGACTGGACAGCTGCATCAGGTTTGTGGCTAGGCTAGAAGCTGAGGCAGGATTTCTTGAGCCCAGGATTTTGAGGCCAACCTGGGCAACATAGTGAGCCCTGTCTTAAAAACAAAACAAACAACAACAACAACAAAACACTGATTGTATCCCACGGCTGGGGGTACTGGTACACCTGAGGCCACACAGGAGTTTGTGGCCCAGGGGACCTGTGTGCTAGCCCTGTACTAAGGAGTCTTGGTGGGTTTAGAGCAAGCAGAATCAAGTTCCAGAGGTCTGCCGTGGTCTCAGGACCTATCTGTGCAGTGAGCAGGGTACAGCACAGGGAACCAGCCTCCTCCCAGATTCCCAGAGACAGTGGCATAAGGCAAATCCCTGGGGGCTATGGAACTGGAAACGGAGTCAGGAGCAACTGAACACTGTTTCTGGTCCCAGCCCAACGTACAGGCAGAGACTACCTGAGACTGAATTCCCTGTTGCCATTCATCCTGTTGTATCCCAAGTTGCTTCCTCCCTGGAACACCCTGTCCTAGGGGGACCCTGGCTGGGCCTTGGTGTGCTCACAACATCTCCCTGGTGGGGGCCAACAGCACCTGCCCCTCAGAACCCACAGCTCTGGTAGGGGGCAGCCAAAGGCTGGCTTGTTTTCAGGGTGCCTGGCTGGCACAGGCTGGCACAGGCTGGCGAGGTGTGCCACAGTGGATGACCATGTCTTCTGCAGGGACGCCAGGAAGCAGCACAGGAGGAAGTGTCCCAATACAGGATGACCAGCACTTCTCCATAGTGGACATGGCAGTGCTGGGAGGGGTGCTGGGTGCACTGCTGTTGCTGGCCCTCCTGGGGCTGGCCATCCTCATTCACAAACACTATGGTCACCGACTGAACTGCTGCTCTGGCAAAGCTGCGGTGAGACTCCTTGTGGGAGCTAGGGCGTAGCAGGGTAGATGACAGTGACAGGGACAGACAGGGGGCAGAGGAGAGAGGTGGGGAGGGAGGGAGACATGCAGAGGGATGAAACATGGGGCAGAGAGAAGGCAGGACGCTYTTCTGTAATCGCAGCAACTTGGGAAGCTTAGGTAAGAGGCTAATAACTTCAAAGCCAGCCTCAGCCACAGTTTAGCAGGATCCAGTTAGAAATAATAATAACAAGGGCAGGGAGGGGGGCTGGGTGTATGGTTCAGCGCATAAGCACCCTTGGGTCCAAGCCAAGGTTCAAGGGGGGGGGGAAGAGGGGGAGATAGTGGAAAGGTGTAGAGATAGAGGTGGAGGTGGGGATAGGAGAGCTGGAGGAGATAAGGGGGTGGGGAGTTGGAATGGGATTGTCAGGGGACCAGCAGGGGACCAGGGTTTAGTGACTCTGGGAAGGAGCAGCCAGTGTACAGGCCAGGGTCACAAAACAGGGCAAGGGCAGAAGCCTACAGAGGGGAGGGACCAGAGTCCCGCTGATATCCTTGCTGTGCCCACAGGAGCCCCAGCCCCAGGGCTTTGACAATCAGGCCTTTGTGGGGGACCAGGAGGCCAACTGGGCACCTGCCCCTAGCCCCGGTTCTGGGCCCAAGTCTGTGGAGGTGCCACCGGAGCAGCCCAGCCCCAGGTCCCCTGCCCCTGAGCCTCCCAGCACGGAGTCCCCAGACCCAGGTCCCCTCGCCAGTGCCCCTGAGTCCCCGGTGGCCGCCAGGGCTGTGGACAGCCCCTCAGCAGTGAGATCCATCCTGACCAAGGAGCGGCGCCCGGAGGGCGGCTACAAGGCCGTGTGGTTCGGCGAGGACATTGGGGCCGAGGCCGACGTGGTGGTCCTTAACGCACCCACCGCGGACGCGGACGGCGCGGGTGACTCTGGCAGCGAGGACAGCGGCGAAGAGGACGCTGGCCAGGGCTGGGGTCCCCGCGGCGCGCCCGCGCCCGAAGACGACTCCACCTACATCTAGCTAGACCTCTCTGCTCGCCCGCAACGGGCCTGGACCCAGGGTCCACTCGCCGCCCCACTTCTCTCGCAGAATAAAATTTCAATTTCGAATCCCAGAATCGGAGGCGATGGGCGGCTGTTCGAGAATTGGTGCAGGGAGGTTGGCCACACCTTCCAGTGGCTCCAGGCGGACGTGGAAGAGGCGGGCGGTGCTTCTTGTAAACCAGCTGCTGCCCCGCCCGCCCGCCGCCGGGCCTTCTGGACCGCTGGTAGCCAGGAAGTTCCTCTCCTGGTCTCACCACAGTCCAGGGGGGCGGGGGGCGCACCAGAGATCTCCACCTCGCGCCTCACGACCCCAGCGGAGACTCCGTGGGGGTGGGCTGGAAGGAGCCAGCGCAAATCCCCGGGAAGACTTGCTTGGGAGAGGGTCGTCTTGGGGACCTCGCAGGGGAAACMGACTCCTTCGGAAGTCTATGAGGTCGGCCGCGGTGGGGGCGAACCCCCTGGGCGCCGCGCGGAGGGACAGGGCCCAGCGCCAGCACTGAGACGTTCGGCGCTGCGGCTGGGAGCATCCCAAGATGACTGGAGCTAGCAGCCGGGGTCTGCTGCCCAAGGACCCCGGGGTGGGGGAGCCGGTATTAGGGGAGTACGGGCCACCTGGTGGGGACAGAGCTCCCCGGCTTGACTTCCAGGGCTCACCCCAGGCCCGAGTTTTTCCAAACTGCCCGTCAAACTGTCCCTGTGGGTCATTGACATTTTTCCTTATGAAAAGTCCTCGTGAATCCTTTCCAAAAGCTCTCAAGAGTGGCTGTCGGAATAGCCAGCAGTCAGCCAACGATACGGCAGTCCCTCTTAAGACTCCACGAGTTTTATGCAAAAACAACAAAACCCCACAACAAAACTCCACTTTTGTCCGGGGTCTGATTTTGCACCTCTGTTCGGGACCTCTGGTTTACCCTAGTTTGACCCGCCCTAGGGTTGCTTCCCCGGGAAGCAGCAGGGGAGCCGCCGGGGCTGAGCCCGGAGGGCAGGCGGAGGCCGGAACCTCCCACGGGAGCATGTGACCCCCGCGAGGCACCTGCAGGGCTTAGGCCCCGCCCGCCCCGGCCCGCCCCGGCCCGCCCCGGCCCGCGCACAATAAAAGCACCGCTGCGTCCTCTCTGGGAGAGAAACGTCCCGTCCCGGCGGCTCCGGCACCCAGGTATGCGGGACCCCTGGCCCACGCGGAACAGAGGGGAGCTACGACCCTCGTGGGAGTCCCTGTTCTCCCCACGAGCAGCGGCCGGGAAGGGGCCGCACCAAGGGCTGGGGAGCCTGAAGGAGGCTCCGTGAGACCGAGGGTGGGGTGGGGAGTGGGGTCGGGCTGAGGACGGGGCTGGGACGGTGGACGGTGGGCGGCCGGCCGTGGGAGGGCGCCTACCCGCCGCCCCGCCCTCTAGGTTTCGGTTTCCCGCGAAGCTGAGTTTCGCTTTCCTAGACTCTGACCCTGCCCTTCCACACCGGCTTTCCCGTCTTGTCTTTGCAGGGTCCAGCCTGTGAGCTCTGCCAGGCCTGGACGCTGGCTTAACATCTGTGACCTCACGTGTGTGCTCTCGCCACATCTGTCGTCACACCTATCTCCACCTTGGCCCAGGAAACCACACTTGGGCAACATAGGTGGTTAGAAGCCCTCAATCCACATCTGTGACTCTCAACACCTGGGTCACACTTGTGACACCTTGGCCACACTGTGGCCACACTCTGACACCTGAAGTGACACACGAGGAACCCGTATCTCACCTGTGATAATACCTGCCACTGCCCCTGCCCAGAATCTCAGTGAAGGGCTACCCTGACTCCCAGACTGACCGTCTGTAAAGAACAATGGCTGTAGTTCCTCAGAGGTGAGAACTGCCAGCCTGCCTGCCCTCCCTCCCCATGTGATCCCTGGGCCTGGCGCTTGGCCCTGACCAAGCGTGGCCACCCCACCCGCAGGGGGGTCCAGCGTGTTCTGTTTGGAGAGTGGCTTCTGGGTGAGGTCAGCAGCGGCTGCTACGAGGGGCTGCGGTGGCTGGACAACGCCCACACGGTCTTCCGGGTGCCCTGGAAGCACTTTGCTCGCAAGGACCTAGGAGAGGCAGACGCCCGCATCTTCAAGGTGGGGCCCAGCCCCACTCCCAAGGAGGACCTGTCTGGGACCCTAAGGCTCCACCCCTCTGACTGGGTTTTCTGTTTTTTTCCCAGGCCTGGGCAGTGGCCCGAGGCAGGTGGCCACCCAACACTGGCAGGGGCGACAGGACACCCCCAGAGGCTGAGGCTGCAGAGCGTGCGGGCTGGAAAACCAACTTCCGATGCGCACTGCACAGCACACGGCTCTTCCGGATGCTGCAAGACAACTCAGGGGACCCTGTGGACCCACACAAGGTGTACGCGCTCAACCCTGAGCTGGAGTGGAGAGGTAAGGAACCCCCCAGGTTGGACAGGAAGGTAGGTGGATGGGTAGAGGGCTCCGCCTTATCTTGGCCTCCAGGTCAGGTGTCCAGCCCCATGTTGGGGTGTCCTGCTTTAAAGCCCCAGGCCTTGCCACCAGGTGCCAGGTCACTGAGGGGAAGAGGTTAGCAGCAAGGAAGGAGCAGGGTGCTGGGACCTGGGGGTACTCAGGACATTCACAACCAGGTCTTATGCCAGCCCCAGGTCCAACTGGCCCCCCACTTTCGGAAGGCCCAGCTGCCTATCAGGGGGAAGAAGAGGCTCTTGAAGGTGCCCTGCCTACACAGGTACAGGCTCTGCCCATCTCTGCCCCTGGTTGTTGGGGCTGGGAGCTGCTTACACCAGACTGTCTTCCCCTTGCAGGGTGGGCCCCTAGGACCATTCCTGGCAGGAGACACTAAGCTGCAAGCCCCAAGCCCTCTGCCCATCCCAGCAAGTGACACAGGGGACCTCTTGCTCCAGGTTCTTCAGCACAGCCTCCTGGGGGACCCCCTGATGGAGGCTGCATGGCGGGTAGACCCAGCCCCTCYGGGGCCTTCTGGTGAGGGACAGCAGGGGCCATACTGAGGGAAGGGGGCAGACAGGACAGCAGAGACCCTGGGGAGAGGGAAAGGGACCCAGTGTCCTGGGGTGGGCCCTTGAGGAGGATGTGGGGTGCTGGGACACCATGAAGGGCAAGTCCGGCAGAAACAGAGCCACCCCAGCTGGGTAACTTGGGTGTTGCCCTGTCACTTTCAGGCCCAGAGTGCCCTTTGGAGGCGCTTCATACAGCACGGGCAGTGGAAGCTGTCCCCAGCCCCAGGCCTCAACACGTGGCCCTGATGACAGGTGAGAAGCTCGAGAACCTCTGCAGTAGGGATGGGGATGGATGGGGATGGGGAGGAGGGGGTTGGGGACCTGAACCAACTCAGCCCTTCCCAGATGCAGGCCAGGGTACGGCCCCAGGGTACCTGCATGCAGCAGAGCCTAAGACAGCACCCTTTGCTAGCAGGGCACCCCAAAGGGAGGTGGCTGGGTACCGCCTGTTCCGCACACACCTGTCGCTCACAGCTTGGTGTATGCAGATCCCAGCCCAGGTGCCCTGGACGTGACCATCATGTACAAGGGACGCACAGTGCTGCAGGCAATGGTGGGGCACCCCAGCTGTGTGTTCCTGTATGGATCCCCTGGCCCAGCCATCAGGGCCTCAGAGCCCCAGCAGGTGGTCTTCCCTAGCCCTGCTGAGCTCCCTGATCAGAAGCAGCTGCACTACACAGAGAAGCTATTGCGGCATGTGACCCCTGGCCTGCAGCTGGAGCTGCGCGGACTGGCACTGTGGGCCCGGCGCATGGGCAAGTGCAAGGTGTACTGGGAGGTGGGCAGTCCCTTGGGTTCTGCCAGCCCCTCCAGCCCAGCCCAGCTGCTGGAGCGCAACTGCAACACCCCCATCTTCGACTTCAGCACCTTCTTCCGAGGTCAGTGAGGCACCTGCCTGGGAAGTGGGCCGACTCTAGGTATTCCCCTGGGAGCCTTGCCCACCCTGCTCACCAGAGCCATCTCCTGCAGAGCTGGGGGAATTCCGGACACGAAGGCGCCAAGGCTCCCCACACTACACTATCTACCTGGGCTTTGGGCAGGACCTGTCAGCAGGGAGGCCCAAGGAAAAGAACCTGGTCCTGGTGAAGGTGAGGCCCGGGGCCAGGAGGGTGAGAAGGGACGGCCTGGCCCTCAGGTTACCAGGGCCCTGACAGATGCCCCCCTGCAGCTGGAGCCATGGCTGTGCCGGGTGCACCTGGAGGGTGTGCAACGTGAGGGCGTGTCCTCCCTGGACAGTGGCAGCCTCAGCCTGTCCCTGTCAAGCACCAACAGCCTCTACGATGACATTGAGCACTTCCTCATGGAGCTGGAACAGCCAGCTTAACCCCCTACCCCAGCCGCCCCCAACAGAAGAGTGCCGAGAACCAGCGCTGTCCTGTTCTCCCTGGTGGCAGTACTGACCAGACATGCAGGGCCCTGGCAAGGGAGGCGAAGCCCAGGAAGCACACTGCAGACCTCCCCTGCATGCCCACTCTTCTGTCTATCGCGCACTCAAGCGACACACTGAAGTGCTAATAAACCACTCGCTGGATACAAATGCCCCTGAGATGGGTGTGGGGGAAAGCTGCTCCACCAGGAGAGCTGGGGAGGTGCCATCATGTGCCCAGCAGTGCCTGTCCTGACTGGAGGTCTGGAGCACTGTGCTCTGCCTCCTGGGAAGCAGCTGGCGGAGTGCAAACCTGAAACAATTACCTGAAGGGGCAGAAGGCCATTTTAAGACTGAAAATAGAGAAATTGCTAAAAGAGAGACAAAGGAGGCCACCTGGAAAAGGATCCAGGAGTCCCTCCCTGCCCCAGACTATCACCAAAGGCTTCACCTTCCAAGTACTGAGGCCACAGGAAAGTTTCTAAAGATAAGCCATTTTTGATAAATTAGAACACAATGGAAACAGTGTATCTATAATATACATATAAAAAAGTCCAGTTTTCAACTGTGAGCAAGACAGGTGCAGACGGGTGTCATCACGGGAGCCCAAAGGCAGGAGTGCTGGTGGCCCCAGGCCTTTGTCACAAAGGCTCAAGG